GCAAAATTTCGAGGAGGAACACCTCCATTTCTGATCTTACATGGCTTCTCTCTTTTTGACCTTCCTCATATAGGGGGTGTTTTGCTTTATCCACAGTATCTCTTCCCCCTCTCAGATTCTGTACTCCAGAAACCGTTTGCCGAAATAGATTTACCCTGAGGTATCACCACATTCTACTAGAGAGTTACTTTTTAACTAGCAATGGAAGATTTAAGGCAAAAAAATAAAGGAATCCTCTGATGGAATTGTAGGTATCTCCAGCAAGATGGAGAAGATGACTTTGAATTTGTGTCTTTTCAAGAATTTGGACTCTCTGCCACATAGTCCCTAGGCTTGGAATCAGGAAAACTTTTTTAATTCTGGATGATTCCAAGGTCACTTACAGCTCTGAGATACTGAATTTTATTCACAGAAGCCTGAGTCATTAAAGTTAAAACCTCAGACTTGACTTTTTCAGGATTTCTCCTCAAAACTAGAAATACATGAAATATGCCTTTTTATATCTCTGTTATGTTGGATTCCTGGAAAAATCTAGTACTCCTCTAGAGAAAACAGCCTGAACTTACACCTGGTTGTTTTTCTGAGGATAGCTATGTACTCACTTTTTTTCAGTTTTGGGGGGTGTGTGTGTGTATTGGGGGGGGTAAGAAACCCATAGTGTCACAGATCCTGTTGTCCTTGAACAGTTTTTCCTTCTCTTCAGATTCCCCAGTAATCTTTGGGATTGTCCACTCAAGGACTATAACATTATATGTGTAAAGGAAAAAAAAAAAATCTTGTTCTTCAAAGCCTTTAAATTGGTCACAGATTTATTCAGCCTTGTTCCCTTTTCCACAGTACATAGAGCTTATCTGAATACTCTTTCTATTTCAGACATTGCAAACTTAATAATAAACAGACTGCCCTGACCTTGCTCCCTGTTTCTTTAACACTCTCTTCCACATTAAAGGAGAGGCATTCAGAATTTTTGACATTTTTTCACTCTCTTATCCCCATTCATCCACTCAACCTAATTCCTGGATTTGTTTTAGTGAGAATACTTGCCACTTCTGTTAATTCTTAAACTGTTGCCTCTCATCCTCTTGACCGAACACTAGAGTATCAAACATTTGGTCCTGCAGTGTAAGAGTAAAAAGAACCAATGTTTCTTGAGCACCTATAAATTAAGGACAATGTCCAGGGTTCTTACATAATCTAATTTACTCTTTTTTTTTTTAAAGAATGTAATATTTTTTATTTTTAAAATCATTTTTACAAATCTATTATTTTTAAAATTGAAGTATAGTTCACATGCAATATTACAGTAGTTTCAGCTGTACAACATAGTGATTTGACATTTATATAACACTACGGGATGTTCACCATGTTAAGTGTAGTTACCATCTGTCACCACACAAAGTTATGACTATATTATTGACTATATTCCCTGTAATGTACTTTACATCCCTGTGACATTTATTTTATAACTGGAAGTTTGTACCTTTTAATCCTCTTCACCAACTTAGCTCATCCCTTCAAACTTCCTCCCCTCTGGAAGCCACCAGTTTGTTCTCTCTGGATTTATGAGTTAATTTTTGTTTGGTTATGTTTGTTCATTAATTTTACTTTTAGATTCCACATGTAAGTAAAATCATGAGATATTTGTTTTTTTCTATCTGACTTATTTCACTCCACATAATACCCTCCAGGTCCATTCATGTTGTCACAAATGGCAAGATCTCATTCTTTCTTATGGCTGAGTAATATTCCACATATATATCACATCTTTATCCATTCACATATCAGAGGACGCTTCGGTTGTTTCCTTATCATTTCCATATCATTTCATGTTAGTCTTCATAGCAACTCTTCTAGTATGATATCTGTTCTACAGATTAAAAAAATGAGACTCCAGAGACTTTGCATAACATCCGAAGTCAATTAATTCGTGCCAGATCAATTAATTTGTGTCAGTTAGAACCAAAACATCTAAGTCTGGATGTTTTGGTTGACTTTAAAATTCATGTTCCTTCTTTGTTCATCTCTGGTTTTTGGGCTAACTTCCTAAAATAGTTTAGGCTGCTCATAATAAATGACCTAGTAAAATGGTCAAAAATAAAGACCCACAAAAAAGAAATGGAGAAGGGAAGTGTAACAGGATTTGGAAGAAGGAATGTATTATAATGAAGGGTCTAGGAAAATGCAAAGCTTTTAAAAATATTTTTATTTTCCTAATGGTGGGCATCAGTGGTTCAAGTGATGCTTCGTTTAGCTCTTGCTTTGCGTTTGACTGATTTGGGGGAATGAAAGAGGTAGAGGTCTCTTTAGGTTATAGAGGACAAACCTGCCTCTGGAGTCTGAACAACCTCGCATCTTAGGTACTTTGTTGTGGGCAGAGAGAAAAAGCACCTGGCAAAGCATCTCTTGGCCACCTTGCCCTGAGCTTTTCTGTACTTTGATATGGATTTACAAATGTTCCTAAGTATATCCAAAGTGCTGACTCTTCACGCAAGGCTTCCACACAGGGATGGAGTGGATTTGATGACAGTTGGGGGGACTGCCTTTGCTATATCCCTTGTCCCTGCTGTACCTCGGTCCCCCACGTTTCTCTTACAACTTCACCCATGTCTTGGTTCTGTAACTTATTGCACACTACTGTCTAATTTCTGGGAAGTTGACACAGAATGAAAGAAAAAAACTCTTGGACTAGGAGCCAGGAGACCTCTCAACTCATCATTTAGTAATATGGACTTGTGTACCTTTATTCTTAGGACCTTATGTTTACACATCTGTAAAATAGAATAATTTCCACCCATCCCTGCCTTGCCAGACCATGTTCTCCTCCACGGGCATGTGATGGTCACTCAGAAAATGGATAAAGGAGAGCTTAGTAACCTGAAGTGTCTTACAGTTGGGAGGGCTTATCACATAAACACCTGTTTATATGACATGGACCTATAATTGTGAGTTCTCCAAAAGGTCTAAATAGAAAAATCCGTGCCCTCCTACTTTAAAATCAGTAATTGTAAAATGCAGCTGAATTGTTAATGGTACATCAACTGTCATCCTTATTTATGCAAATGTGTACCCAGCATATTGTTTGAATTCCTCTAGCCGTGGCTCTTCAGAGACAAGGAATGGAGCCTTCGCTCTTTCGTGTAATTATGGAGAATGCAGAGCGGCAACCTCAAAGGCCAAGTGTCATCCCACAGTGGCACTCAAGTGCTAGAGCCCCCCTTTTATTATTCTTTCAGACACTTTATACCACATTTGTCTGCAAGCTGGGTGCATTTGTAGAGCCCACAAAATTTTGTATTTTATATATCTATAATAAAACTCAGAAAACTTTTTTTTTTCTCTATCCTCTAATATAAATATGGCTGCAGGGAGGAGAGAGACAGGAACAAAATAATGCCTTTTGTTTGAGGATTATAAAAGGGGAGCGTTTCCCACCAGGGGTTAGAAACAGGCTCAAGCCCAATCTTCATTCTGTGGTCACAGTAATTACTCACTGCAAATGCCGTATAGTCTATGAAGTTCTTCCTCACCTTCTCCTTTCCGGTTCTCTCCGTAACCCTACAAGGTAGGTCGGATTATTATCCCCGTGTATCCACTACCCTATGAGCTTCTCACAGATGGGACTGTTTCTTGCCAGTTTTTCTACCTCTATCATCCAGCTCGAGTAAGTGTATATGTATTTAGTTTATATAGTTTTCTTGTGAGAAAATAATTGTAAGGGTGTTTTGTGGCCCACACAGGGACCCATGACTTCTAATATATGCTAGAGGAAGTCTTACACTTCAATTTTCTGATGCTATATCCTGCTGTGATTGTAGTAGATATCACCAGTTCTATAATCAGAGAAAATTTGCGGAATGGCAGTTGAGTAGGGAATGTTTTATGTAATATAGTGCATAGTGTGACAAACCAATCCCAGTAAGTTTCCAAATAGAAGTTATGCTAATGGAATTGTTCTTTTTCCCTTGTCTCCCAGGAGACTTGTCAACAGAAGAGTTGTTTGGGCCCCAGGCTTCTCCTGTGTAGAGAGGCTGTTGGCAACCCCGTGGGTTCTCTCATGGCCCATGAACTTCTAAGTTGAGAACGCATGGTTCCATGTTGGGGCCTCTGCATGACAGCAGGCTGTGCTGCCAAATTCCCTGTTTGACTGGCTTTGCACTAGTTTTATGCATATCCCAAATGGCCCAGGAAGCTGCAAATGAAGGGCCTCAGCTACAGTTTGAAAATGGCATCTGCATGTCTTTCATAAGCCTGTGGGTCTTCACTGAGTTCTTTTCCCTCAATGATTTTCAAGCTTGTTTGACTTGAAGGGCAAGAGAGGGGAAAGGGATGGAGAAAAAATAATGTAGAGGCAAAAGGAAGATGCAATTATTTTTCCCCTCACAAAAGAGATTCTTTAGGAAGGTATTCAACTTTGTACTCTATACATTCAGGAAAAATATGATTTGATGATAGCCTTGTAATCCTTCCCTAGTTAAAAAAAAGTTCTTGGAGAAAGTCAATTGTCATATGGTTTCACTTATTTGTGGAACATAAGGAATAGCATGGAGGACATTAGGAGAAGGAAGGGAAAAATGAAGGGAGGGGAATCAGAGGGGGAGATGAACCATTAGAGACTATGGACTCCGGGAATCAAACTGAGGGTTTTAGAGGGGAGAGGGGGCTGGGGGGATGGATGAGCTCGGTGATGGGTATTAAGGAGGGCACATATTGCATGGAGCACTGGGTGTTATACACAAACAATGAATCATGGAACACTACATCAAAAACTAATGATGTACTGTATGGTGACTAAAATAACATAATAGAAAATTATTAAAAAAAGAAAAAGAAAAAAAAGTTCTTGGCTGGAAACACAAATAACTTCTTGTCATAGGTCCCAGAGGAATATTTTTACAAATGTATAGTTCAAATCCATGTTTTAACCTGAGACCTGTTGGATATGACCAGTACCCCCCTCCAGTGTCACATGCTCACTGTCATTCCCATGTTTGTGTTCCTAGGACCTCGATGCAGTCTCAGTCTACATACGGTAACAGCTCCCCACCTCTGAACAAAATGAACAGCATGAACAAGCTGCCTTCTGTGAGCCAGCTTATCAATCCTCAGCAGCGCAATGCCCTCACCCCTACCACCATTCCTGATGGCATGGGAGCCAACAGTAAGAGCTTCTCCCTTTAACTTCACCTTAGGGGTCAGTGGGGCTAGTGTATGGGAAGACTCTGCTCTGGGATGGGGGAGAGGCTTGCTCCTAAGCTAAGGAGAGGCAGAGTGGGACAGAACAGATCACAGTTGAATGGCTTGAGTTTCTTGTGAATTTTTTGTTACTTTGGAAGTATATGGTTCATTACAAAGCACAGTGGGAGACATAGAGGGGGTTGTTCCTTCAGGAGGGAAAAAGATCTCTGTGATAACAACAGTCCACTTCCTGTCAACCTGATGGGGACCCACCTCCCACCTCCTTTGAGAAAGCGAAAAGAAGATCTTTCCAACATGTAGCATGGTGTGGTAGACTTAAAAGTCCAGAGAAATAGATTATAGAGTCTGACCTCTATTGCAGTATTAGCTGTGCAACTGTGGACAAGTCACCTCTCTGCTCTGATGCTCAGTTTCTACTCATAAAATTATCACTCTGCGCATTTAACATCTTATGATTCTGTGTCCCTATGATCTTGGTCTTCTCAGCTTGTCTACTCCATCTTGTATACAGTCGTTAAGGAATTGACATAGAGAAGAGAGTCTCCCTTTTACTTATTCATGCACAGATTCCTCACATCAACTAAGTGTAACTGTAAGAGGCAACGTGAGAACAGGCCTCCAAATGGATGATGATTGCTATATAGCTTTGCTGTAAATAGAATTATCTTATCCACTAGAACTAAATCTAGCAGAGTGAATTCCCAAACTAGAGAAAACCAAAAGGAGGATAAAATACAGAAGGATGTCTCATATCCTCAGGGATGCAGAACCCTAAACACTGCACATGTATCCTATAATGCACATCAGAAAACAATGCCTCAATCTTGTCCTTTGAAATCCTTCATTATTCTGATCAAGCCTTTCAATGTGCATTTAAGTATTGCCTTGAAGAGACTAGGTGGTTTTTTTTGTTTGTTTGTTTTTTAAAGAAGTTAAGGGAAGCTAGGATTGTGACTCTCTATGGTTTGATGGCGAACATTCAGATTTAAATGAGATAGAGTGCGTGCGGTATGGTTGCCTGGTCTGGCAACAAAGACTTTAGAGCCAAACTGCTCTCTCACTAGTGATCAATGCATCTTAAGGCTCAAATTCTTACCCCTTGACAGGTCTGCTGTTTTGACGATAAAAGGAAAAAGCACCATGTATATTTTTACTTTATTTTCTTTCTTGTGACATCTTAGAGTCCTTTTGTTCCTTCACATTTGTGAAAGTTATAGTTTGCCTACATTTTCTCATTTATACTTCACAACTTTTCTCTGATATCATCAACAAAGTCAGAGGGAAAACTGATGAGCTATGATAAGCCCATGCTCCTTAGCTGGCCAGTTAGTGGCAGAGGCCTCTCCTTTTGGCATATTTGATTCACTTAAAAAAAAAAAAAAAAAGCAAATTGCATTAATCTTTTTTTTTTAAAAAAAAAAAAAAAAATCTGACAGAGAGATTGTTTTTTTTAGAGGGAACACAAGCAGGGGGGAGGGGCGGAGGGAGAAGCAGGCTTCCCACAGAGCAGGGAGCCTGATGCGGTGCTGGATCCCAGGATCCTGGGATCATGACCTGAGCCGAAGGCAGACGCCTAACGACTGAGCCGCCCAGGCGCCCCTGCGTTAATCTTTTTGTAGATATGTTCCTTTGCTCTTTTTTTCACCTGAAGACAAAATTTGCCTCATAAGTATTATCATTTTTTTGCTTTTCTTCTCTATAGGTGAATGTTTCCAGTTTGTAGTTTAGTAAAAAAAAACAATCAGGGTTGCTGGTGTCCCCGAATACAATCCAGAAATGGACCATAAGAAAGAGCTGGAATCTTTAATTTCATCCTTCCTTATTAGGCCTATGGTTCCCAAATATTGCAGTAAATACTCCTATCCCCAGACAAATATCCCAGAGGTCACTCTCTCATTCACAGGTCTCTGCACTTGTTCACTGCACATCAGTTTACTGAGCATGTGATTGGTGCCAGGCACTATGCTAGGTGGGGATCGAGACCTGTACAAGGCCTAGCTAATCTGCATGCTTGAGGAATTAGCCTAATGAGAGAGACAGAAATATAATCTACAAAGGCAGATACAAAGAGGAATATGTTAACATCAGAGGTAATGAGCAGTTAGAGCATTAGAAGTAGGGAAGGAAGTGGGGGGAGATTGTCCAAAGAGAATGTACAAAGGTCGAAAAGTGTTTGGTGTTTGGTGACTAGTTTGGAGTTTGGTGACCGTTCTATTCTGTTGGATGAGATGTAGGGTCCTCGAAGGGGTATAGTGAGAGAGAAGGCTGACTAGGAAAGCTGGTGAATTCGGCCCTTGGTAACATTAAACCAGGCAAGATGGACCACTGGGAAGCTGGTACTGATGATGGCAGTAACCCTCTCTGTTCCTCCTGCTTCTGTTCAGTTCCTATGATGGGCACCCACATGCCAATGGCTGGAGACATGAATGGACTCAGCCCCACCCAGGCCCTCCCTCCCCCACTCTCCATGCCATCCACCTCCCACTGCACTCCCCCACCTCCGTACCCCACAGATTGCAGCCTTGTCAGGTGAGTCCACAGCATGTGCCCCTGGGGGGCCTGTCCTAAGCAACTCTGGGTGGTGGAGGGTGGACACTCTCAGAGTTCATGACACAGTTGGGAGAAAAAAAAAAAAGAAAGCAGCCCTTCCTCTGGTGGCAGTTCAGCACTGGTATCTCTGCTCTGTGGAGTGGTCAGCAGTGTTTCATCAAGGAAAAGCACTATGATCTGCATGGGAAAAAGTGAAAATGTGAGTTGATAGGCATATCCTTTTTCATGCCTGTTTCCCCCATCTTCACTTACCCCCTTCCTCCCTCACAGCTTCACATGGTCAGTTGGGGCCTTCAAATTGGTGCTCAGGGCTGGGGTTCCCAGAAGGGCAGTAAACTTGCTATCTTGCTCCCTTTCCCGTTCTCCAGGACTCATAGCTCTCAGCCACCATGGCCTCGTTATGTCGGAGGGGGATGTGCGTTAAAAAGTTTGAATGTGTGCAAAAACGACAGGGCCTTTCAAGAACCTGATGGCCGCTGTTCCTTGGCCATCGACGAAGTACGCAAACTCTAGGCAAGGGCGTTCAGATAGCCAGGAGAAAGAAAGGCCTGGAGCCTCAAAGACCTTCTCCCCTGAGGCAAGAGTGGGTGCCGCGTCTCACGCCTAGCACACATTGCCTGCCCCCTGCTTCATGTGCAGAATGATCCTCTCGTTTGGCTGCTGGAATAATGTGTGTTGATCCCCCTGTGATTGATGCAGCAGCACCAAGCAGCGTCAGTCAGAGAGATGGCGAAGTGCATGGCTTGCGCCACCCAGCCTGTGGCTCGGTGATGGCGGCATCATCCATCTGAGGCCAGCACCCAAAAGGAGGGGGGTCTGTATGCTGAGCAGGACATAAATCAAAAAGCATGAATGACTTCATAGTATAGTGGCCTCCAGTTTTTCTTAGCCACGTGAACCATTCTCAGAAACCCCCGATACAAAGCAATTCAAGTAGAGATGCGCTTTTTTGAAGTGAAGAGGCAGGAGGCAAGAGCGCTGGGAACCTGACCACTGGACTCCTTCCTTTCACCCCCTGCAATGGCTCCTCAGGCACTTCTCTCTGTAGAACCCCTAGAATTCCAATCACCATTTGAAAATCACTGCTCTGCAGGAATCCTCGGAGTTGATTTTAATGTCTAGAGACCTAAAGTTTAAGTCACTACCCATCCCCAAACCTTAAATCCAAGGCCCGCGTAGATTGATTGCATCTGCCCCTAGTCTCTCCTGTAGGGCATCCCAGGGCAAAATGTTGGGTTTTCCTTTATCTCGCCAATGCAGTTGGGGTGAACTTTCTTTTTCTGTTTCCTCCTTCCTCTTCCCTCCTCCCTCTGCAGTTTCTTAGCGAGGTTGGGCTGTTCATCATGTCTGGACTATTTCACGACCCAGGGGCTGACCACCATCTATCAGATTGAGCATTACTCCATGGATGTAAGTAACTGTTAGACTTTTCTCTTGAGTTTTATTTCTTCCTTTCCTCCCTCTGGTGACATCCACCTGGTAGTTCAATTCCCCCTGGTTTTAACATTTGTTTTTAGCATGCCCTCAGTCCTCAATTTTGGTGGAAACCATTACCAGATTAGAAAGACTCCCAGGCCTCAGCCTACATACCTGAGAAGCATAGCAATCAGTCTTCCTCAGCTCGTCAGCTTAGCCAACACTTGTCTATTGCACACATATTCTACTCAGAGTGGGAAAGAGGAGATCCAGTTCCTGCCTCCACAAAATTTATAATCTCTGAAGAACTCCGAGAACTTTCTAGATGTTCTCCTTAGTCTGTATGAGACCCAGGGAAACTAGCAGGAAGCGGGTGATATTATTCTCACTTTAAAACATGGAGAGACAACAGTATAATCATTTGCATCATGAGATGATGACAGAACCAAGAATAGAGCCCTCAGGTGGAGGCTTCTGGTCTTTAACTCTATTAACTGGCTTCTTCTACATTTCCTTAAAGTTGGACCTTAAGGAGGATTCAACTGTTCCTCTCAGTTTGAACCGTGTGTTCATTCATTTTCAATTCTATCAGAATAGGGTCAAGCCATCCCTGACCATTGACAAAAATCACTGGTCATGGTTCAAGTCCTATCCATGCTTTTCAGTAATAATGAGGACTTGAGGTTATCACTTTGCCTTTCTGAGCCTCAGTTCATAAAATGGGGTTCAAAAGCACTCCCTTCTGGCTTTGATGTCCTCTGTCTTTTGGAGCAAGCTGGATAGAAGGGGACTTTTTCTTCCTTCCTACACTGCTTCTTGAACTGCTCACATGGGAGCTTGTATTGTTCTGGTTTATAGCAATCTGAGTTTCCTCCCAGGCTGCTCTTCATGCTGCTCTCTTTGGGGTTTACTATCCTCTTTTCCAGCTTCCAGAGGGTGCTTTGGACTGGTGGAAGAAGATACTGTCTGCCTCTGCTGCTGCTTCTCTAGTTGGGATCTCTTCTTTCCCCTCCTTGAGCACCGATCCTAGAGATGGCCCTGCAGCATGAGAATCCCCAGCCCTGTGATGACAAGAATATGCCGTACCGCACCTCTGCCCACCCCTCCCCCACCCCATAAATCACCCTGACTCCTGCTCCCTGGTGGAATAAATTAAGTGAAAACTATAGATCAAGCTTTAGGAGTAAGTTTCGACAGGTTTCAAGTCACTTTACAACAGTGTCCATCCGTTGAGGAGAACAGAGTTGCCCTGTGCTTGACAGCCCTATGTGACAGAACAGGGAATGCGTCCCTTCCCTATATTTTTAAAATGATGCCTTCCACTTGCTGACTGTCCCCACTGGGGAGTGTGTCAGGATGCCCCCTCGGCTACTAGGATCTGCAGATGTCCTCCATAAGTCCCTCTCTGCTGCCATTGGCTAGGTCTCATGCCAGTGTCTGGGTCACAGCTTCCTCACCTGTCAGTTATAAGTTCAGATCTATCTAGAGAATCATACAGCTTGATGGAGGCCAGTTTACAGAGTTCTGGACTTACTGAGAATTTCAGAAGCATAAAGACTTACGCTTCCTTATCTAAATGTGGGTTGCCTTCTTTATAATGTATTCTTCTGCTAGAATAGGGAATCAGAGGACCCATACTGTGGGCATCCAAACAGGGAAATAACTGGGAGGCTATCTAATTTCTGCATCCTCGCCTCAGCTTCTTCCATCTCATTACTGGAAATAGAAACCTCTTTTCCAGCTTGTCTCTCAACACCTGTCTGAGTTGTTTGGCATCCCTTCCTGGAAAAAAGAATGTGGTTCAATTTGGGAGTTTTCATGAGTATCCCCTCTAAGGTTTTGGGATGGGTTAATAATAATTTAATATAGTAATAATGCAAATGGTGAAGCTTTAGATAGTGTGCTTTATAATTTGCAAGATACTTTCACATACATATTTATACCTGAGCCCATAGTATGTGTTGACCTAAAAAAAGGAATTCTGTCCCATTTTACCAAGGAAGAAACTGAGGCCAGTAGGAGAAAAGTGACTTGATGAAGATCTAGAGCCAGTCAGTGACAGAATAAAAACCTCTGTCGAGGTCTTCTTACTCCAAGCACAGTGTTCTCTCTACCCACTGTGCTACTCCATAGAAGATGTGAGCCATCACTGAAACAAGCTAATGAAGAGACAATGCAGATAAATGTGAGAGATGTCACTGCAGTTAGTTAAGATCGAGCACATTTGTAATGCCTTCCACTCCCATTCATAGAACATGGACACATACCCCGCATTTGGATACCCTGATTTATCCAAACACCAAGCAACGTTCTGGCCATTAGGGCAGTTTTAGGCTCAGAGGCTATCCGGAGTCCCCAGTTCATTTACTTAGTTGTGTAACTTTAGACTTGTCAACCTCTCTAACCTTCAGCTTTTCGATCTATAAAACAGGTGTAATGTGTCTACCACTAATCTGAGCACTAAATGAGATCATGAATGTAAAATAATTAGTTCAGTCCCTGGCATATAGAAAGTGTTCAATACCTGTTAGTAATCTTTTCTTCTCATCAACTCATTTGAGTGGTGGTTATGGTCCATTAATCTCTCTCTTCTAGTGACTAGAGCCAGGTAGATTTAAGAGTTAGAAGGTACTTTATCTTGTTTTTGTTGCAGGATCTTTGCCCTCTGGTCTAACTAATATCCCTATTTTACCAGCAAAGAAACTGAGACCAGGAGAGAATAAGTGAAGTGTTATCCACAAGCAGAAATGGCACCTCAAGGCTGTACCTTTTGCTTAGTTACATATAATGCCAAAGGTTATCCGAGAACTAACTGTATTTTCCAGTGTAGAGAGCAGTAAATTCAGGTTGGTTAAATCAGAACACTGGGAATGACAAAACGATGTGGACTAAATGTCCGTTTGTCCCTTTGTTCTAATTCTCCCTGACTCTCCTTCCCTATTGCACAGGATTTGGCAAGTCTAAAAATCCCTGAGCAATTCCGACATGCCATCTGGAAGGGCATCCTGGACCACCGGCAGCTCCACGACTTCTCCTCCCCTCCTCACCTCCTGCGGACCCCGAGTGGTGCCTCTACAGTCAGCGTGGGCTCCAGCGAGACCCGGGGCGAGCGCGTTATTGATGCCGTGCGCTTCACCCTGCGCCAGACCATCTCCTTTCCGCCCCGCGATGAGTGGAACGACTTCAACTTTGACATGGATGCTCGTCGCAACAAGCAACAGCGCATCAAAGAAGAGGGGGAGTGAGCACTACTGTGTGAACGCCTCCCATCCTCTCCCCATCTGTCTGCCTCCCTACAAGGCACTAGTGCTTGACCTTCAAAGTGTCCCCTTTAGCTCCTTTCTTTCCTCTTCTCAGTCTGGCTTCTTAAGGGAAGAAGAAGTAAGAGGCTGTCTTTGATCTAATGTTCAACCTGGCATCTGATTCCGATTCTGGCTTTAAGCCTTCAAATCTATTGCTTGCAGGACTGAAGTTATCATGGCTAGGTGGAAGTGAACAAAAGAGCAGTGGGTGTCTCCTTAAGCTGCAAAGATTTCTCATTGACTTTTATAAAGCATTTTCACCCTTATAGTCTAAGACTATATATATAAATATATAAATATACAGTATATATTTTTGGGTGGGGGGCATGGAGTACTGTTTAAATGTAATTTAAAGGAAAGGAAACTGAGTTGCACTTATCAACTTATTTTTTTAATTTACTTGTTTGGATGGCTTATCTATACCCCTTCTTTTTTTGGGTATTATGTATGGTAATTGGTGTCTAGAGCTTGATGCCATATATGAGTGACAAAAATGTCCTTTCAGTTCTTTTGATGCTAAGCAATTGCCACATCAAACCTTTGGAGGGATCCTGTTGTATTTACCATTGCATACTGTATGGGTGAGACCGTATGCATATTCACGTGGTTTTCTATTTTAGTGGACTTTATGTTACTGACATTGCTACTAGTGATGGTGGTTCACTTTGGGATCATTTAGGGTAATTACAAGAAAAAGTCCATGTTCACACTATCACACCCTAGAAGAAAGGAAATATCCTCTCTTGCTTTTGGTTGGGAATGGGGAATGTGGGTCATGGCTAAAATTCTTTTTTTTTTTTAATTTTATTTATTTATTTGTCAGAGAGAGAGTTTTTTTTTGCAGAGGGAGAAGCAGGCTCCCCGCTGAGCAGGGAGCCCGATGCAGGACTCGATCCCAGGACCCTGGGACCATGACCTGAGCTGAAGGCAGCTGCTTAACTGACTGAGCCACCCAGGCGTCCCATGGCTAAAATTCTGAAGAGGTCCTTGGCAGCTAGTTCAAAAACATCGGGTATCATGTATCTGGGTATATCAACAACCCCCTTACATTTAATACCAGATGCCTTATCTCTTAGTATGTATTGGGAAAATATTTGCAACCAAGTTTCAATACTAGACTAAGTCAATGACACATTTGTTACCCTTGTTAGAACTAAGGTAGATTTGATTGGGATGAATGCCGTCTCCCTAGTTCTTACACTGAAATTGTAGTGTCTATTCAGAATATCTAGGAAAAACAGGAGTCATATACAAATACTGAATCTCCATTAAGCAGTAAGAGATCAGTGAGCCATGAATTGAAATTCTTAAAAGACCTTTTGAAACATAGCTAAAATTATTTGATACATGTTTCTTTTGAAAACCCTCCTATTATATAAAATTTTGCAAATAGAGGCTCGTTTATCTTTCTCTCTTTAAGGTTTAAAATAGGAGTAGTGATTTAGAAAATCTAAAATTATGAGATCAGTTTTCCTGTGGCATCAGTTATAGGAGTTTGACTTTATTGGAAAATGACTGTGAGAATCCAATTTCCCGTCCATCTCTCTTCTGGACTGTCATAGATATAAAAATGTCCCCACAAATCAGGGGATAAGCCTTCCAATGGAGGTGTTGCTTGAACCACATAAACAGAGAGTTGTCTTCAGACTTTGGGAAAATGTGTAAATGACAATATTCCTGTAGATCTTTCAGAAAGATGTTTTTTTTTCCCAAACTCTAAAACAAATATTTTGTACATACGCTAATGAGCTCTAAAATCCTTCTGTGCGTTCTGATAAAGGGCTATGATTGCACAGAAGCTTCCACTGTTGTTTTCAAGTGCAAAAGGGCTAACGTGGCTCAAAAGGATAATGTGTGAGTTTCACCTGAAAAGTGTATATATGTTTTGTGTGTGAAATTGCATACTTTGTGTTTCCATTTTTATTTTCTTCTTGGGATAGTGGGTTTTCCAGAACCACAGTTGAAACTTTTTTTTATTATTATTATTGTTTTTATATTTTCATGGAAACATCATTTAGTAAGGCTACAATGCCATACAAGAAAAACAAATGCCATAACTGTAAGATAGGGGGGAGGAAATGTTGTTTTTTATTATTATTTTTATTTTGTATGTTCAAGAGAGTGAGTCCTTGATTTCAAAGTTTTATTGTGCTTAAATGGTAAGGGGCACTGTTAATTTGTGGAGTACATATGCGACTTGGCTTTGAAAACCTACTGAGGGCAAGAATGAAAGCTGTGCATCGGCAATGCTCGGAGGGCAGATGGCTTCCCCAGCTGTCCTGAGTGTTTGAACAAACCTAGGACCTCTTCTGAGCTATTTCAGCACTGTTCAGGTAGCACTAGGGACTCAGAAATTCCTGTACTGTATCTTACGTGTTTGGCACTAGCCAAGGCTAAGCACAGTGACTGGCCTCATGTCCTGGTGGCAACTTCTGCTCTTTGAGTGTATGAGTAGCTAGGATAAGGGGTGAACGAGTATTCAGAACTGACGAGTGGGAGTGGACTTAGTGGAGGGCCTGGGGTGGGGGTGGGGCTCAGCTCAATGCAGTCTGCTGACAAGTGGATAGATTTTTGTTTGAAAGGGATGAGAAACAGAAAGGGAGAATAGAACTTTCTTCATTAAATCCATTTGCCTTTTGTTTTCTTGATATTCTCCTACAGTACAGTATGTGGGATGTTGAATGTTAAAGGTTGTGTTTTTTTTATTATTTTTATAATTGTACAAAAGTTAAATGTCAATTTTTTTTTATGCTTTATTAATGTTTTGAAAGTTTCTTTCTTATAGATGTGATACATTTTTTTTTTTTTTAAGCTTCTGTTGCTTGTCTTTTGGTATTTTGTGTATTTTTTTTTTGGTGAGCCAGAGGCAAATCTCCAAGCCACTTATGTTTGCCAGGACATGCAATAAAATTAAAAAATAAATAAAAAATGCATTGAGAAATGGTGCTGATGGGGTGTATGTGTCTGTCTTCTGTCTGTCCATCTGTCCGCCTGTCCTTTGGCTTTATTTTTATCATTGAGGAAGAGGAAGAGGCACTGAAAGAAACATTACAGAGGTTCAAATGTTGATGTTTCTCATCTCAGGCCAAATAATCATTATTTTCTTAGTTTAGCCAACCTATGAGGTAGGAAAGACCAGGAAGCTATCCTCGTTTGGTACACGAGATCCTCCCAGATGTAATACTTTATTTCATTGAAATCAGAACGAGTCTGCTTTGGAACAGGGACTAGACTACAGATATTCCTAATGTCTGTTTAGTGACTTTCATGTGGCAATGACCTCAGCAGTGTGGGGGAGGGATGCAGATTATCTTATTGTATGTGGAAACAGCACTGCAGATGGTGGGCTCTGGGCATGTTCCCCTTTAAACTCAGTATTACTATCACCCTTCAATTATATACATTGATTCAGCCAATAAAATACTATCAACATGGTTTAATGATTTTTACTAAAGAAATGAGAGTTTGTTTTTTTATGGGCTTACATTAGATGGCATGAAAACAGCTCAGTACCTTAGATATATAAATAACTTTACAGAATAGGATTATATATAATATAGAGTACTTAAAAATCTCAACGTGTTTTCCTGTTTATAGGAATATAGAATCACGTTATGAATATATATAGAATCACATTATGAATATATACATCCTTATAGGCAAAGCAGGTTCGACTTAAATTAGGGGTACCAAAAGTTTCAAAATTCTTATTCCTTAAAATCTAGGTGATAGATCCCCCAAAATGAAATGATGGATACAATGTTTCTAGGAAAAGCAAAATTAAAGGCAAAGAAAATGGTTAATTCTTGATATACTATTAAGGCACTTTGGACTCAATTGTAGTTTATTTTTCTGAGCAGTTACAGCCATTTCCATAGATTGCTACTTCATGGCTTTTGTTGTCTCTTGGAGGTCTTCTGAAGTGCAAAGAAAAAAAGTTTTAAAAACATTTTAAGACTTTTTTAGTGTAGTTTTCTTTTCATAGCAAAATTGAGAGGCTAGTACAGAAATTTCCCATGTGGCCTCTGACTCCACAGGTGCACAGCTGCCCTCATTACCAGCATCCCCCACCAGAGTGCTACATGTGTTGCAGTTGAACCTGCACTGACCCCTCATTATCCCCCAAAGTCCATGGGATACATTGGGGTTCAGTCTTGGTGCTGAACATTCTATGGGTTTGGACAAATATACAGTGACATGTACCCACCATTATAGTATCATACAGAGTAGTTTCACTGCCCTGAAATTGCTCTGTACTCCGCCTATGCATCCTTCCCAACCCAAAACCCCTGGCAACCACTTTTACTGTCTGGCAATCCTATTACTATCTCCATGGTTTTGCCTGTTCCAGAATGTTGTATAGCTAGAATCACACAGCATGCAGTCTTTCCAGATGGACTTCTTTCACTCAGTCATATGCACTTAAGCTTCCTCTATGCCTTTTAATGGCTTAATAGCTTATTTCTTTTTAGTGCTGATTAATACTCCATTGTCTGAATGTTCAGGTCTTTGTCCTTCAACTTACTGAAGGACATCCTGGTTGCTTCCAAGTTTTGGCAGTTACAAATAAAGTCTCTATAAAGTCTCTACATCATCCATTTTTTTCCCAATTACCTCAGACACACACCTATGTTCAGCATCTTTTTTTTTGAGAAGCATATGGGGTAAATTTTTGTGCACAGGAATTGTTATACTGTCTCATGTCATTTTAGAAAAACAGGACGGTCAAGTTCTGGTTCCCAAAATTTACATGGCGAAATTCCACTCGCCGAATAATTAATTGTTGCACTGATTGTGCAAGTTTTTTTATGTCTATGCACAAGTGCATAGACAATTTTCAACTCTTTTGGGTAATTCCAAACAATGGGATTGGTGGATTGCATGGTAAGAATATGTTTAGTTTTGTAAGAAACTGCCAAATTGTCTTCGAAAGTGGCTATCCTATTTTGCCTTCCCATCAGCAATAAATGAGAGTTCCTGTTGCTTCCTATCCTTGCCAGCCTTTGGTGTTGTTAGTGTTCTGGATTTTTACCATTCTAATAGGGACACAGTGGTATCTCATTGTTTTAATATGGATTTTGCTGGTGACATATGTGGAGCATCTCTTCACATGCTTATTTTTCATCAGTATATCTCTTTCAGGGAGATGTCTGTTAAAGTCTTTGGCCCTTTTTTTTCAGTTTTATGTTCCCTTATTGTTTTAACAGTTCCAAAACTACTTTAAAAAAACAATACAATGTATGTCTTGCAATTATCATAGGTTCTGTTAGACCCTTTATAAATCTAAAAAGCAGTATGAAAATGTAGTGATTTTGCCTTTTCGTATCTTGAGACATTTTCTCTCTTTACCATTGTAGGAATTACTTTATTCATACTTCCCAATTCTAATGAGCCAAAAAACAAAAGACTAAAAGGTTTAAAAAGGGAAGAATGGTGGAATTGTCCAAAACTATGCTAATGTGGTAGCCACTCGCTGCATGTGACTCTGATCACTTGAAATGTGGCTATTTAAAATTGAAATGTGCTTAAAAAATAATCAAATCAAATAAAATTGAAATGTGTTCTAAGTGTAAGATACATATTAGATTTCAGAGACCTAGAATAAAAATAAAGAATATAAAATAGCTCAGTGATAATTTTTTATGTTGATTCCATGTTAAAAGATACTATGGATTAAGTAAAATATATTATTAGAATTAATTTTATTAGTTTCCTTTTATATTTTATGTGCCCACTAGAAAATGTAAAATTATACAAGTGACTTTCATTACAGTTCCATTGGCCAACTGG